TGGGGTCAAAAATTAAAATGTAATTTTTTTAAAAAAACGACATATTATTAATGAAAATAAGTTAATACCCGCTTTGATATTTTGAAAACGCCGTATAATTACATTATTGTCAAATGAATTTCGCTACTTGTATAGTTTTGTTTATCATCTCATTGACAGATGCTAAACTAGCGATGATTAAATCATATTGAATGTAGGAGGTAAATGAATTGAAATAAAATTCAAATTTTATGCAAACATAATTCAAAAGTAATCAAATTACATTTAATCCATAATGATCCTAAAATTTTTGATATCATATTCCATATAAAATTTTCTAATAAAATTATGTAAATAGTATTGAGAAATTTATCATACAAAAATAATAATTGTTAATGAAATAATTGAAACTTTTTAAAGAGAAGACAAGTTAGACGCCTCTTTTTGAGACGTACATTTAACGCATTCTTAACTATTTTCGATATTCGTTTGGACTATTTGATATGACTGCGTTATAATTCTTGAAATGAGCTTTTAGATGACGTAGGTGATTTTTGAATTCAGTTAATGCACGATCGTCGATGAAATTTTAAAGTTAGAAAATTATCGAAATACTAATTTGGAACAACCTACTTAACGTATCAAAGGTTTTGCTACAGTTAACCATTTCGCACACCATTAATAAGCAAAAAACTAGGTCTTAAGCAATTCAAAATGATATTAAGAATGCAATATTTCGACTTGACATCCTGTAATGAGTACGTCAAAGTAGACTATAAAAGGGCTATTACAGGTTTTTTTTTCACAATATATAAATTTGGGAAAAGATGTATCTTGTTGTAAAGAGCTCAAAACAACTATGGATTTATTTGGGAAAAAAAAAAAGTAAAAACCAAATTATTTTGTGGGGTCACTTGACCCTACATGACCTCATGTGGGTCTGTCTATTGATCATATGGCGTACATAGAGCCTCATATTTATATTCCTCCTTCTTTCTTATTCATCTATGCCCTCCGAAACTTATTATGTCGATTTATTCGTATGTATGGATAACAAGACAATATATCTAAACAAACAAGTTTATTTTACATGGTTGGCATACTAGATTCTGAGTATATTACAACTTATGAGCTATTTTTTTTTCTTTAATTTGTACAAGTATATTACTATGGTATGTCTAGTAAACTAGTCAGAATTGAACGTGCATTACACGTTATTTTGAAATATTTTATAAGTGTTGTAAACGTAATATTTGATACCAATTTGTTAGGAGGATTTAATGAATCTCAAACGAACTAATGAAAATAAAAATTAGGATACAAATTTAAGATAAAAAAATTGTATTCTCAAAACTCAACTTCTATGATTCAAATATTTTGTGATGATGAAAAATTAAAAAAGCTGAATGTATTTAATCTTTGTTACCTAATTCTTATTCTCTACTGCTCTAT